TATATAGTATACAGTTAATAAAAACTAATGCATCTAAATAGAATAGTAGTTTTCATTTATTATACTCAACGGTATACAATTATTTTATGAATACATAATATTTTATTTGACATTTATGATACATCATATATATACATAATAATATAAAAGTATATTATGAGAATAATTGAAGATTCATTAGGGCCTGGGCAATACAATTTCGTTTTTGGATACCTTCTTCTTTACTTTGAATATCAATATCATCATGATTTGATTGACATTGTGGAACATTTACAATAATTGGTATATCTATCATATCATCATGCAGCAAACAGATATTATGCATAATACAACAAGCCACTATATATTTGGGTATTATCAAATCTGTTCTAGTCATTGGCAAATTATCAAGAATACTTCTAAATCGTCCTTTTAAAAGTCCCAATGATCTTTCTACAATCATACGTGCAGAAGAATGTATTTTATTATAGTTTATTTCAGTCTCTGATAAGTGCCCATTATCTCGAAATGGGACCATAATATATTTCTGAATAACATATATGCAGAATCCCCCAATAGGTGACTATTTTCCGGAAAATTTATTTGTGTGCACATGTTTTGGAAACGTGATAATCGGAAGACCCTCATATCATGTATAGAACCAACTTGTCCAGTATAGCAATGCAGAAATTTAAGATTAGAATCGCATATAACCTAAAACAGAATATTAGTTTATTTATTATGATACTATTAAATTTTTCTAATTTTGTAATTGTATTTAAATGTATATACGCTATATGTATTTATTCTTTTGTACCTGTAGCTGGATCGAATGATAGCCTTTCCTATTTATATAACATTCTGGATTTTTTTTGGTGCTGCTATTTTTACATGAGTGCCGTCAATTGCACCTATTACTTTTGGAAACCCATACTTGGTTTTTATAAGTGTCCATGTAGCTTTTGCTTCTTCTGGTGATGGCCATTTTATAAACATATGTAAATAAGAATACAAAGCAGAAACTACTCTTCTAACGCTTCTTCACGCTGTTGCCCTCCCAACGTCAAATCTGTCACTTACACATTTATTAAAGAAGTATAATATATCAGATTTTTATAGATACATAGTAATTTATATGTTAAAAAAAACAATAACAACTGGTAAAAAATAGTATACATATTTAACATTTGATATATAAATATGATATTACATATCTGATATATATTTTTCTATTTGGAATTATGAAATACTTATCTATATGAATTAGGTGTTGCCATCATCCAAATACTTAACAATAATTGTTTTTCAGGCGTTATTTGGTGACGACCAAATTTATCTGATTTTGTTAGATGTGGAGTTAATAATTCTAACAAGAATATAAAAGTACTGCGTTTCATCCTATGCATAGTAAATAACGACTCTTATAAATTTTTAATCTTTCATATTTTATTATGTTTTATGTTTAACAACTTACCTAAAATGAGTTTTAAACTCCATATCCGAATATGAAGATACGATATTTTCAACATAATTTTTGCATCGTATTCTCGGTACTCGAGTTCGCCGGTTTAATTCTTTCAATATTTCTGTATCTAACTCGTCTTCACTAGAATCACTCGAGTCATCTATATTTTCTATTAGTGTATGCGTAATTAATGCAATTATATTTTTATTCATTTCATTCATTTTTTATAAAACTATAAGCAAAACAATAGATAGGTTATTACAACATTGGATGCGAGATGCGAGCTGCTGAAAGCGTACTGCGAGTGCATTCCGTTTTACAGGTTCCCAACGGTTTCAAAGTACACGAAATTAAAACGGAACGCTATTCGCAGTACGCTTACATGACGTCACAACTACAGTACTCGCAGTGCATAACGGAACGCACCCTATTATGTCTATAGGCTATCACACACAAATTGGCATAGCTGCATATGCATAGCATAAGACCGTCTGGACCAATGAGCATGCTATGCAAATCAATATGGCGATTTTATTTCGATGCTCATTAGTCCAGACGGTCTTATGCTATGCATATGCAGCTATGCCAATTTGTGTGTGATAGCCTATAGACATAATAGGGTGCGTTCCGTTATGCACTGCGAGTACTGTAGTTGTGACGTCATGTAAGCGTACTGCGAATAGCGTTCCGTTTTAATTTCGTGTACTTTGAAGCTGTTGGGAACCTGTAAAACGGAATGCACTCGCAGTACGCTTTCAGCAGCTCGCATCTCGCATCCAGTGTTGTAATAACCTATCTATTGTTTTGCTTATAGTTTTATAAAAAATGAATGAAATGAATAAAAATATAATTGCATTAATTACGCATACACTAATAGAAAATATAGATGACTCGAGTGATTCTAGTAAAGACGAGTTAGATACAGAAATATTGAAAGAATTAAACCGGCGAACTCGAGTACCGAGAATACGATGCAAAAATTATGTTGAAAATATCGTATCTTCATATTCGGATATGGAGTTTAAAACTCATTTTAGGTAAGTTGTTAAACATAAAACATAATAAAATATGAAAGATTAAAAATTTATAAGAGTCGTTATTTACTATGCATAGGATGAAACGCAGTACTTTTATATTCTTGTTAGAATTATTAACTCCACATCTAACAAAATCAGATAAATTTGGTCGTCACCAAATAACGCCTGAAAAACAATTATTGTTAAGTATTTGGATGATGGCAACACCTAATTCATATAGGTAAGTATTTCATAATTCCAAATAGAAAAATATATATCAGATATGTAATATCATATTTATATATCAAATGTTAAATATGTATACTATTTTTTACCAGTTGTTATTGTTTTTTTAACATATAAATTACCATGTATCTATAAAAATCTGATCTTTTTTATTGTTGTCGCTTTTCCGCGATCTTGATTGGTTGTCTTGTTCATGCGCTTGCTTCACTCGTGTGACTTGCTTCATTCGTGTCGTTTGACAGTTTGTCATTTGACAGTTAGTTGACAGTGTTGACAGTTAAAAAAATAAATATTAAATATAGTTAAATATATTTAATAAATATAGAAAGAAAGAGGAAGAAGGAAAGACGAATAAAGAAAGGTATGTATATTATATATGTATATTGTGTGTATATATGTATATTGCTGTATGAAAAATACGTATACTATTTTTTTTTATACTTATATATTTTTTTTATACTTTATAAATATATATTTTAATGTATATTACTTATTAATATAAACGATTCATTTAATATTAATATAAATGTTTCATTTACAGTTAAAGAAAAGACGAAGAATAGGCGAGAAAGAGAGAGGAAGGGAGAGAGAGAGAGAGAGAAAAACTGAGAGAGAGATAGAGAGAGAGAGAGACAGAAAGGAAAGAAAGAAGAGAAAGAAGGAGGTTTTATTTAAAATTAAAGAAAAGGAAGAATACGCAAAAGACAGGGAGAGAAAGAGATAGACAGAAAGAAAAAAGGAGAAAGAATATAATATTAGGTAATAATATTGTTTAATATTATCATTTAATATTGTTTGTTAAATATTATTAATAAAGATTATTACATATTATTAATATTATTAATATTATTAATATCATTTAATATTATTAAAGTTAATTATAGTATTAGAGAGAGACAGAAAGGAAAGAAAGAAGAGAAAGAAGGAGGTTTTACTTAAAATTAAAGAAAAGGAAGAATACGCAAAAGACAGGGAGAGAAAGAGATAGACAGAAAGAAAAAAGGAGAAAGAATATAATATTAGGTAATAATATTGTTTAATATTATCATTTAATATTGTTTGTTAAATATTATTAATAAAGATTATTAAATATTATTAATATTATTAATATTATTAATATCATTTAATATTATTAAAGTTAATTATAGTATTAGAGAGAGACAGAAAAGAAAGAAAGAAGAGAAAAAAGTAGGTTTTATTTAAAATTAAAGAAAAGGAAGAATACGCAAAAGACAGGGAGAGAAAGAGATAGACAGAAAGAAAAAAGGAGAAAGAATATAATATTAGGTAATAATATTGTTTAATATTATCATTTAATATTGTTTGTTAAATATTATTAATAAAGATTATTAAATATTATTAATATTATTAATATTATTAATATCATTTAATATTATTAAAGTTAATTATAGTATTAGAGAGAGACAGAAAAGAAAGAAAGAAGAGAAAAAAGTAGGTTTTATTTAAAATTAAAGAAAAGGAAGAATACGCAAAAGACAGGGAGAGAAAGAGATAGACAGAAAGAAAAAAGGAGAAAGAATATAATATTAGGTAATAATATTGTTTAATATTATCATTTAATATTGTTTGTTAAATATTATTAATAAAGATTATTAAATATTATTAATATTATTAATATTATTAATATCATTTAATATTATTAAAGTTAATTATAGTATTAGAGAGAGACAGAAAAGAAAGAAAGAAGAGAAAAAAGTAGGTTTTATTTAAAATTAAAGAAAAGGAAGAATACGCAAAAGACAGGGAGAGAAAGAGATAGACAGAAAGAAAAAAGGAGAAAGAATATAATATTAGGTAATAATATTGTTTAATATTATCATTTAATATTGTTTGTTAAATATTATTAATAAAGATTATTAAATATTATTAATATTATTAATATTATTAATATCATCTGAGCGTCTTTTACCGTAAACCGTGAATCAGATCGGACGTGTCTCGTTGATCTCGTGTGATATGCTTAATTGATTAATCACATTTGTATTCTGAGTTTGTAATTAGTTCTGAGTTCGAGTTTATGAGTTGACCAATAAAAACGTGTTTCGATAAGTGCTCAAATTATTGCTTTATTCGATTTCTCACGTTCACTATAATATTTATATATACAGTTCAATAATTCATGGTTCAACTGTTAAACTATTACCCTTTTGAAAAAGCCATTCTCCTGACAAACTACAAATTGACTCGCTGTCTTACAGTATATAGTCAAGAATTGAGCCCCTGTCTCTCTCTCTTCTCACGTGGACTTTTTCTTTTTGGCCAGCGTGCGTCTTGCCACGCCGTATTTATAGCGATAACGTGTGTTGTTCAAAAATAGGTGAGTATATATGTACGCGCGTCTCTCACGTGCGTCATCTACGGCTCATCTTTGTCGTCGTCCGATCGTATAAAGATCTATGCACGTTACATACATAACGTCACGTCTCAACCTAATGTCATATATTCTTATATGGTTGTCAAGTAGAGCAATACACATTGACATGTTACAGAATCAGATTGTTATCGATATTTAAAACCAACTAAGAAATATTTCATGTTGCATTGACGTGACAATTACATACCCTAAGTGTGTAAATCTTTATACGTCCATCTGGCAGATAAGATAAGGCAGGGTGACAAATACGTCTTGGCGTATAACGGACATGTTCGCGAGTTTACTTCACTCATCATAGTCCATTCTCATTACTCTGTATTCACATTGCAGCTGAAAATCGTGTATACACGCACGCATAAGTGAACACCCTGTATCGTAAAAATGAGCCTGCTTTCCAACTGGCAGACCACTAAAGAGAAACTCTCGGAGCGTGGCCAGTACTTGCTGGAGACTGGACAATGGTCCGATTGCAATTTTATCGTCGGGCAAGAACCTCAACAACAGATTTTCAAAGGCCACAAAGTGCTTCTGGCAATGTCTAGTCCAGTTTTTGAAGCTATGTTCTTTGGCGGCATGGCAGAAAAGAATTATCCGATACCGATAAAGGATGTTCAGCCTGAAACGTTTAGGGCTTTGTTGGAATATATTTATACAGATAAAGTAGAGTTAGGATCTTTCGAGTTGGCTTGTGAGTTATGTTATTGTGCCAAGAAGTACATGCTGCCATGCTTAGTAGAGGAATGCACAAAGTATCTCTGGTCAGATCTCTCGCCGAAGAAAGCATGTAGGGCATACGAATTTGCTCAATTGTTTGAAGAACCTGTGTTGATGGACAAGTGTTTGCAGATCATACGCACAAAGACGGACGAAATATTAAAGGAATCTAGTTGGGAGGATGTGGAGCTGGGAACACTTCTCAAGGTCTTGGACCAAGATGATTTGCAGATCAGTTCGGAGATAGAATTATTTACTGGATTGGAACAATGGGCCAAGGCAGAATGTTCTAGGAAATCTCTTGATCCAACCAATGGAAAATCTTTAAAATCTGTTATTGGAAATGCCCTCTCAAAGATAAGATTTTTGAGTTTGACTCCGCAAGAGTTTGCAGGAGGTGCTAGTATGTCTCCTCTGTTCACAAAAGATGAGGCTTTTGATATATTAATTAATATATTACGTACTGACAACAAAACACCTATGCCCGAAGGTTTTTGCACTAATTCAAATAGCAGAACTACCAGAAAGAAGCCTGAGATCGGCCATACCGACGTTTTCCGTAATACTTATTCATCAAATCTATTGTACGGACATGAGCGTTTCGATATGGACTGCAATTACTGCAAGTACTGCGGTCGTGAGTTCATGTAAGTGTACTGCTAATAGCGTTCCGTTTAAATTTTGTATACTTTGAAGCTGTTGCAGTACACTTTCAGCAATTCGCATCCAGTGTTCTGATGACCTATCCATTGGTATGCTTATTTTTTTGTCACAAATGAATGGAATAATAAATAACATATAAAATAAAATAATTTTATACCGTTGAATTTAATAAATGAAAACTATTCTATATATACGTACATATAAATAATATGTAACACAGCCTCAATCAATCCTTTATAAGTTTTTTCTTTTAACAGTCTTAAATTTACAAATTGGCATAGCTGCATATGCATAGCATAAGACCGTCTGGACCAATGAGCATGCTATGCAAATCAATATGGCGATTTTATTTCGATGCTCATTAGTCCAGACGGTCTTATGCTATGCATATGCAGCTATGCCAATAGAGAAATTTAAGACTGTTAAAAGAAAAAACTTATAAAGGATTGATTGAGGCTGTGTTACATATTATTTATATGTACGTATATATAGAATAGTTTTCATTTATTAAATTCAACGGTATAAAATTATTTTATTTTATATGTTATTTATTATTCCATTCATTTGTGACAAAAAAATAAGCATACCAATGGATAGGTCATCAGAACACTGGATGCGAATTGCTGAAAGTGTACTGCAACAGCTTCAAAGTATACAAAATTTAAACGGAACGCTATTAGCAGTACACTTACATGAACTCACTACCGCAGTACTTGCAGTAATTGCAGTCCATATCGAAACGCTCATGTCCGTACAATAGATTTGATGAATAAGTATTACGGAAAACGTCGGTATGGCCGATCTCAGGCTTCTTTCTGGTAGTTCTGCTATTTGAATTAGTGCAAAAACCTTCGGGCATAGGTGTTTTGTTGTCAGTACGTAATATATTAATTAATATATCAAAAGCCTCATCTTTTGTGAACAGAGGAGACATACTAGCACCTCCTGCAAACTCTTGCGGAGTCAAACTCAAAAATCTTATCTTTGAGAGGGCATTTCCAATAACAGATTTTAAAGATTTTCCATTGGTTGGATCAAGAAATTTCCTAGAACATTCTGCCTTGGCCCATTGTTCCAATCCAGTAAATTATTCTATCTCCGAACTGATCTGTAAATTATCTTGGTCCAAAACCTTGAGAAGTGTTCCCTGCTCCACATCCTCCCAACTAGATTCCTTTAATATTTCGTCCGTCTTTGTGCGTATGATCTGCAGACACTCGTCCATCAACACAGGATTTTCAAACAGTTGAGCAAATTCGTATGCCCTACATGTTTTCTTCGGCGAGAGATCTGACGAGACATACTTTGTGCATTTCTTTACTAAGCATGGCAGCATGTACTTCTTGGCACAATAACATAACTCACAAGCCAACTCGAAAGATCCTAACTCTACTTTATCTGTATAAATATATTCCAACAAAGCCCTAAACGTTTCAGGCTGAACATCCTTTATCGGTATCGGATAATTCTTTTCTGCCATGCCGCCAAAGAACATAGCTTCAAAAACTGGACTAGACATTGCCAGAAGCACTTTGTGGCCTTTGAAAATCTGTTGTTGAGGTTCTTGCCCGACGATAAAATTGCAATCGGACCATTGTCCAGTCTCCAGCAAGTACTGGCCACGCTCCGAGAGTTTCTCTTTAGTGGTCTGCCAGTTGGAAAGCAGGCTCATTTTTACGATACAGGGTGTTCACTTATGCGTGCGTGTATACACGATTTTCAGCTGCAATGTGAATACAGAGTAATGAGAATGGACTATGATGAGTGAAGTAAACTCGCGAACATGTCCGTTATACGCCAAGACGTATTTGTCACCCTGCCTTATCTTATCTGCCAGATGGACGTATAAAGATTTATACACTTAGGGTATGTAATTGTCACGTCAATGCAACATGAAATATTTCTTAGTTGGTTTTAAATATCGATAACAATCTGATTCTGTAACATGTCAATGTGTATTGCTCTACTTGACAACCATATAAGAATATATGACATTAGGTTGAGACATGACGTTATGTATGTAACGTGCATAGATTTTTATACGATCGGACGGCGACAAAGATGAGCCGTAGATGACGCACGTGAGAGACGCGCGTACATATATACTCACCTATTTTTGAACAACACACGTTATCGCTATAAATACGGCGTGGCAAGACGCACGCTGGCCAAAAAGAAAAAGTCCACGTGAGAAGAGAGAGAGACAGGGGCTCAATTCTTGACTATAACATTTACTTCAATATAACATTTGTAGATTTTACGCGAAATACGGATTCCCAGGTGTGATCGGATGTATAGATTGCACTCACGTAGCGATATTTCCTCCACGAACAAATGATGAAATGTATCCAGAATACGTGTATGTAAATCGAAAACAATATAATTCTATAAATACACAATTAGTAAGTATATATATTGACTATATATTAGTTACAATAAAAATACTTTTTTGTTATATCAGTTACAATGCGTGATTATATAAATACAATTAATAATTATTTTATCAAATTATATACTGATATTTTTATTATAGATTTGTGATTCAAAAATGAAAATTTTAAATGTTAATGCTCGATATCCTGGAAGTTGTCACGACCCTGCCGAAAATGGTCGATTAAAACCGATTAAAACATAATCGAGTACCTAAATATAGATTTCGGTATACTAAATGAGAGACCAATAGTTGTTGAAACTGCTGTAGGACGTGTAAATCCTGATCTTATGAGAGCAAAAATAATGCAACGTCGTATAATTAGAAATTTTTTTTTAATTTTAGTTTCTATTTAACAATATTTTAGTTTATTTATCTTTTATGTTACTTACACGTCTAATAAAAATCATAAATATATGAAATAAACCAAAAGATATCATTTATGTTGAATAACTTTTAAATAAAACTTATATACATAATTTCTTAGCTCAATGTATAATTTGCAAATATTAGAACACAATTTAGAACACACACATATGTTTTTTAAAATATTAAAAAAAACGTTAAAGATTATAAATATTAATTATGAATAACTTAGAAATTAAACCTTGTTTATATTGATATAATATACGAAAAATGAAATAAATTAACTATAAAAACTAATTGTTAAAACTATAATTTTTTTCTAGATAACGAAACTTTTTATCATATTTGTATTATCACAAATTTGTTTTTATCAAAACTTTGGTTTTATAATAACTTTGGTATTATATATTGTTTTATGATTTAAATAACTTGTTTGGATTTTATGATTGCACAAAAATTTTCCATTGCTGCAGCAATTCGTTCTTTTGCTATAATATCACGTTCCATTAAATGAAGTTTTTTATCATAATAGTCTGCACGCATTTTCAAATCATTTTGTACATTAGTAGTTAAAAATTTTGTATACGAAAAAGTGTCATCAAAACGTTGTTCAAACCTATTTCGTGTGCGTCCTTTGAATGGTACCTTATAAAATTCAATTTATTTATTACATATATATATATATATATATATACCCTATTTATACCCTTTTTACTCCCGATTCCCAACCGCAAGTTGTTGTCTGATTTTAAAATGGGACCAATATTGCAATTTATAGACTCTGTCAAAAATTTTTGGTTAAAGGATTACACAATATTTTTATAAATAAATGTATAACTTTACAGATTTATATAATGTTCCTACTTTTTGAAACTGATGGATAATTCTCTTTTTTACAATCCATTGATGACTCCTTTCTTATTTCTATAATTGAATCCAACTTCCCTAGAAAGGAAACAAATATTGTTAAAAAATATAAAATCTTCAGAGAGCATACTAGTTTATGTATACAAAAAAGTATTAAAATTATCTTACTTTTAGATGTAATATGTTTCAATATATTATCATTGTCTGATATATTGTTTGATATATTTATATTATTCTCTGTAGGATAAATTTCAATAATATTATCATTTTCAACATTTTCCAAAGCCTACAAAAATAAATGTATCCATAGGTAAAAATAATCCCTTTTAATAAAAAATTTTATCATTTCGCAGATGAAAAGTAAATTGATTTTATGTAGTGTGAAGTCGGATTTGCTGTTATCATGAGTCACAATCAATTATTGAATCGGTGTTTTTGCAATTGAAACTCAGTTGTTAAAAACAAATATACATTCTCCGCAGAGAGTCCGCCTTATTGAAATTTGACCAATCAGGATAAAAGGAACTAAAATTTCCTTGTTCTGATTGGTCACATTTCAATCTCAATGCATAGTCTGATACGGGCTTTATATTCTTCGACGATTATTTCTTATACGAATTATTATTATTATTATTTTATTTTATTAGCAATTATTATTATTATTATTATTATTAGAATATATTATCAATTATTATTATTTTCTTATGTCTATGGTTGTTTCAATCGTGAAATTTTACAATAATGGCTTCTGCACACATGACGCGGAAACGCTTGCCGCGCGACAAAAGGAGACGCGGTAGCCAATCAACTTACAACTTTTCTATTAGAACGACAAATTGATTGGCTACCGCGTCGTCTTTTGCCGCGCGGCAAGCGTTTCCGCGTCCTGTGTGCAGAAGCCATCAGTGAAGTTAGTCGAAAACAGGACAACCAACTCTCGACTACAAAAATTCTATACCAATAAATCTAGATTTTTTTCAACTGGCCTACAGTTGGCGATCTATAGTCAAGATGGACATTTCTTATTTGTCAACGAGTAGCGCGCATTTCGAAATTAAGATGTTACATTTCTCAATCGCGATGAATCTTTGATAGTTATTGATTGCGTTAAAACACATTATCTATCTTATATAATGCATATTTCGATAAAAATGTGATATTATCCAAAAGTCTTTCGATGTCTTTTAACGAACTTGCAAAACAAAAGAACAAAAATACATAGCCATAAAAATAATATTGTGTTGAATTAATATCTTACGCCTCTTTCTATATATTTAGATATATTAATTATATATTTACATAATTGTACATATATTTATAATGCATTATCAAAGTATAATACATTTCTTCTATATGTACTTACAAAATAGATATTCTATATATATAATACATGCTGTTACATAGTTTTACAGAAAACTAAACTTCTTTATTTTAAACTTTAAAGAATAAATCATTCCAGAATAATTA